AGGTGTCAACAGTAGAAAATATATCAGCTCCAGTGGTTGTTGTTTCTAATTCACGATAGAATAGGAACTGTTCAATAATTTCCGGTCCGTACACAAATCTTACAAAAGATATCAATTGGGCCTTTCCCGAAATGTCCGTACTTTCGTCCAGTTGTAAAGCAAATTGTGCCAATACCTCCCTAACATTACTTTGAATATCGATTGACATATCTAATATACGTAGATGGACTGTGTCATTTGATAAAGGTACCTTTGATATTTGTTCAACAGCTTCCGGGCCTAACATTGTAGCAACTAATTCTTTACATGCCGGTAAAATAAGCTCTTCACAAATAGTATGGGCTTTTTGTTTTTTGGCAATCCAAAAACTTTATATGATGCTAAAAGTGCCTTATCTGGGAGTTTTATTCGTTTTTCCATTATAACTGAGGATGGTTGAATGGAACAACGTAGACTTTGAAAATACTCGCGCGATTTTTGGGAAACACTTTGATGATTTTGTTCCAAATGTCTTTTCATCTTGTTGGGAACCATCGATTCGTTTGAAAGATTCTTACCACATATCAAACACCGCGGATTAGGTTTATCTTCGTCACCTGTCCAGGTAAATCCATAACTTAAGTTCACTGCCGGTGTAAAATCTGAATGGACCCTCAGGTGCCGTTAGCATATTTTTAGTATTTAAGCTTCTTTTGAATAATAGTTTTTTAATTGAGTAGTATCTAGTTGATAATGGAGGTATAACTATCAAATTACGTCATCACGCATACGTGGCGTGGTCGGCACCGAACAAAGAATTGCATGTTAGGTGCCGGCTACGCCACAGTGGTGTTTTAGTTATTTCTGCTGTATTTTAGGGTAGAATAATTCAAGTCAGACAGAAATGTTTAATTAAAAATAAAACAGTTAAACAAAACAAAATTTGAACGTAAAAACTAAATTGTACATAAAATAAAATCAAAAATTTAAAATATAAGATTATTTTGAATGCCACATTCTAAAACAAGGGTTTAAACATAATCCTGGTTGACCAACGCATAGATTACAAAAGTAAGGAGTCACCTGTCTCTTGTTTTGAGTTTTACACAATCTACAGTCTTTTCTTCGAGCCCGTTTATGGTCATCCGTTCGTTCAAATTTTGACGGCAAATGGCGTGATTCGTTTGCTTTTATAGTTTTTTTGGGACAATTTTTAGTTTGGGCTCCCTCCAAAAGTTCCTCAATAATGGCCAAACGAAAATCATATAAATTTTTTCTTTGACCAGAATACGCATTGAATAAAAAATGAGAATTTATGAGCATTACTTGAAAAAAGTGGATAAATATTTTTTTGTACCACCTTAAGCTTTTACGCTCACATGGGTTGTAAGCCAACATTTGATCTTTACGATCTACACCCGACATATTTTTATTATATTGTTCAATGGCCTCAGGCTTTTCTTTTTCAATACCTCTTCTGTTCGAAACCGTCACGAAATCACCAGAATACTCTGTAGTAATAAATGAAACATCCCTTTTATCACGCCACTTTCCCATAAGAACACCAGAATTGTTATTACACTTTAGAATTATTTCACCTCTCTTGAGTTTAGAACTTACAACTTCATGAGAATTTCCTTTACGATTCAGTCATAATGTTCCTGTGCAATAAGTCTTCCGCTCGAGAAGGGCAACCGACAATGTGTAACTATTGTAGAAATTGTCCATGAATAAAGAATGACCTTTATCCAGGTATGTCTCCATTAGTTGAAAAACAACGTCTGAGGTATGCCCCCTTTCACTAGATTGAACTTTTGCTCCAGTATACACAGCTATTTTTAGAGTAAGTCCGTTAGGTTCAGCCAGAACATAAAGTTTCACCTCGTACTTATAACGTTTGCTCTTTATATACTGCCTGAACTGCAGTCGGCCTCTCCACAAAACCATTGATTCATCAATGCATACATTTTTAGACGGATAATATATTTGAGACTTTTTTTGGTTGAAGTAATCGACAATCGGTCTCAATTTATATAATCGATCTTGAGGAAATGTATCTCCAATACCTGGATTTTTTACAAAATGTAGGCAACGTAAGATTAACAGGAAACGATTTCTTCCCATATAGTTACTGAATCAAGTAAGATTGAACAATTTGTGTTTCTTTCAGTAATCATTTATTCGGTTAATTTTAATTGTTCCCATATGTAAAACCAAACCAAAAAATATACGCAATTCCCCTATAGTAATTGGTTTCCACTCCGTTATTCTAGATTTATCTTTTCCAGCAGAACTTAAGAAAATTTCTTCAGCATACCTATTTGTTTCATCAACGACAAGTTGAAAAAATGTGTCATCTGCTAAAATATTAAAATAATCTATCGGATTATTGCCGTCAGGTTGAACTAATAATCCACAATTTTCCGTAAAAATGATATTTTGTTTGATCATAGGTGGATCGTCCCATATATAATTATTTTGATTAGTAAATATCGGTACCTGTACCTCAGCAGCGATGCCAGTATCTCCATGGTTAGAATGCTGTGATTCACAATCCGAATCCGTCAAATCTATTAAATCTTCATCGTCGGCGTATTCGCTTCCACTCGACTCATAATCATCAAAACTGTCATCATCGGATTCTTCCAGTATTTGTCGTAATTCTTCATCCGTTAAAGGCTTCTTCAATTCGAATTCTGTTCTTCTTTTTTAACGCCAGACGAACCAGAGTTATTGCCAGAAGCCATAATCAAACACTTTTAATTACTTACAAAACAAAATCCTGACTTTCGAACCGATATGAAATTTGAGACACAATAAACCTTCTCGAAGTGCCGATGAAGTCTGATAGCTATAAAGCAAGTGCCGACTACTTAAAAACTTTGTTATTAGCAGACATGTACACCACGCACCTATGGCGTGGTCGGCACAGGGCGCAATTAGCCGAGCACGCCACAGTGGCGTGACCAGCAGTGAATGAGTTAAATACTCTTATTTGTAGTGGCGCTTGTGTCCTTTTGTTGATCATGGTTTTATAATTTTTTATTTTTTTTTTTCGGCGCTAGTGCATTCATCTTTATTTTCTTCTACTTCGAAGAGCTTTGGTTTTCTGAAGCTGGCTTTTTCCGTATTAAAAATTTGTCCATCGTCTCTGTAATTAAAATAAAATTATTTTACATTATATTTTTCACATCCACGTTTAATTTGGTCAGTAGCAAGAAACTGTGTACGGGGTATATAGTAATTGAATCGGTCATTTCGAAAACAACATAAGTCCATATTTGGGGTGAAATGACTTTTCGACGCCATGATGAGTTCAATATTGAAATCAACCATTTCGCGTGAAAACAACGCAAGTTACTGTTTAAAATACTGTATGGCAGGTCAGTATGTTTTTCGGTCAGTTCGAAAACAACATATGTCCTTATCCATATCAACGTATGTCCTTATCCATTCCAACGTTTAGGAGTTTAAGACATATGAAATACTCTTTAGTTCTTTGACAATGTAAAATAGCTACATAATCTATCTAAGAGGTTTCTATGTATTTTGACTATTTCTTGCTGAACATAAAGAACGTTTTAGGGATATTAAAAATTATGGTTCATTTCGAAAACAACATAAGTCCACAAAATTAAAAACTTAATATTAAAAAAATTAAATAACATTTAGTCTTTTTGTTGTATATACATACATAATATATCTAAGTTTCTATGTATTTTGACTGTTTCTTGCTGAAGTTTTAGTAAAAATAATATTAAAACTTATGATTCATTTTGAAAACAATATAAGTCCACAAAATTTAAAAATTTATATCAAATAAACTAAGTTAAATTTAGTCTTTTTTGTCTTTCAGAAGCAGGCATTTATAAATCATAATGCTTATATAAATTATAGTATTGCCGCTAAATACCCAACCATTAATGGGAAGATTTTTGTTTCCTGAAAAATTTATATACTGTAACATGCATTATTTCGAAATGACAGATTCAATTGTAATTCACGTAATAACATTAGATTATTACACTAAATTTACCTTAGCTTTATAAACTGTAAAAAGGGTTGTTGCCGCCAGGCGCATGAAAAACCATAAAATATTCTGTAATCAGCAAATCACTACCACTATGTTGCACGAATTGATTTTCACTATGATCTATAACGGATACTCACTACTGGGACTGAGTACTGAGAGCGTAATGTGGCGTTGGCGTAATGTTCGTTGTTCGGTGTGCATAATGCAAAGCAAAAAACTGGTTAATCGGATTGCGTCGGCGTACGTCACGTGTTGCTCCTTGTTAAGGTCGATTCAGACACATCAGTCACGTCTCGTCACAGTCCTAGCGCCGAACCGAACAATCCGTCATACAAAATATTCTTTAATAGAAATATGGCGCCGGCATTCACATTCATCAGTTGGCCAACAGTTTGCCAGCTGTCAGATAGTTGATAGTTCTGTGACCAAACAGGACCGGTTCGGCGCCGAGACTGTGACTGATGTATCTGAATCGACCTTAGAGATAAGGAACAAGATCTGTCGCTTTGCGCAACTATTCATAACGCAAGTTATGTCGGTTAAATTTTAAAAACAGAGGAAACAATTACGGATTGGCACTTTATTGATTGGTATAACGTGGTATATACCTAATAGTTAAAAAAAGGTTGAATGCATGATTGGTATATTATAACATGTAAAAAAATATAAATAAAAATATCGTATTCGTAAATCTCGCGACACACCTGATAGGTTCTTCCGGCACACCAGTGTGTCGCGACACGGTGGTTGAGAACCGCTGACCTAGACAATGCACTTTCTGACAAAAATGCAAAATGGTGGACGAATAAACGAAGGCCTCAAAAAATTTGACAAGTTCGACTACTATTAAAAGAGTTTGATTTCTTTGCACCTATATTAATTAAGAGTTTTTTTCGATGGCTCTATTTTTCTCATAGATATTTGTATATAGCTCAGTCGCTTCGTTAGAAGAAAAAACATCCTAATTATGTTTTTTTTTTTTTTTTAGTTTCGAGATGACTGTAGAAATGTTTGATTATTTGGATCATATACTCGAACTTCAGGAAGCAGGTAAGTGTGAAACCTATATTACAGCTTCATTTTTTGTGGGGCACCATGGTTTTACTTTAATACGCTCATGGACAAAAATATTTTATATTTGTTAAATTTTGATTTCGACAAATTCTTGACAGCTAAAATCTTTAAATCCGAGAAATACAGTACCGAAGCACAGTATAGTGCTTGTGACCAAAGGTAGTGTTGATATCAAAAAAGAACCATTTTTGAACTTTCTTGAGACTATTGTAGTATAAAATAGTTTTTTGTTATTTTTCTTTTGTCTTCTACTGAGTTTATTAAGACATAGGTATTTTTTCTGATAATTATCTACATGAAAAAAATTAACACTATGAGAATACCGTTCTGAAACTACTTTATTGTGGCATGTCTAATTTAAATACCTAATATGTTTATATGGGATTAAGCCCCAATTATTGGTTGTGAATTATATTTTTAACCAACTAATGTTTGACGTTTCGACTTCCACTCTGGAAATCGTTGTCAAAAAAGATTATTTTTATAAAATTCTGCGAATATATATAATCAAGTTGCTTGTTATTACGTTATGTCCTTTCAAAATTGACGTACTTGGCTCGATCTTGTAGGCAATAGCATGTAAATGGCCGAAAAACATCCGAGAGTATTGTTTTTAACCTAGGAATATCAAATTTAGAACATACACAAGGTAACCTGGACCTCTTGTGATGGAAGAACAACGAGTCAGATGGATCACATCTTAATAGATTCAAGGCATGGAACAGACGTAGTAAACTGCAGAAGTTATAGAGGCGCAAATATAGACTCAGATCATTGCCTAGTGATCTCAATATTGAGGGCTAGAATTTCAAATACTAGTAAAGAAAAAAAAAAGTGGAGACAAAAAAATGGAATGTGCAAAATCTGAGAGTTACGACAATTGCAGAACGGTACTCGGAAAACATCACCAACAGGCTAAGGAATAAAGGAAGACATTGAAGCAGCAACGAAGATAAAAACAAAGCCTACAGAAAGATGCTTACCTGTCGAACTAGAACAACTGTAGAGAAGTACCAGGCAAAGAGAAGAGAAGAAAAGAGTATACACAAAAAAAACGAAACCACCTAAATGAGGAACTTTAATATATAGAAAACTTCAACAGAAGTCAGAATGGCGACCTATTAACAACAAGGAAAGATATATTGAATAGATGGGTGGAATACTTTAACCAGGCACTTAATATAGAGGTAGAAGAAAACCTGGAAGACGAAAGAGATAAGGTAAGGGGAACAGACGAGAGGGAAGTGGGGCCACCAACGATTCTGGAAGTTGATGCAGTTAAAAAACTAGCCAGATACAAATCACCCGGAATAGATAATCTCCCAGCTGAACTATATAAACAAGGTGTCCATGATGCCATAGTGGCATTACAGCAGCTTATAAAAGAAATATGGACACAGAAATCCCTCCCCAATGATTGGAATACTTTGCACCATATACAAAAAGGAGATATCTTTGAATGCTCTAAACACAGAGGAATTGCACTTCTAAATGCAGCATATAAAATATTTTCCACAGTACTATGTCATCGTATGGCACCATATAAAGAACGGATAGTAGGAAAATACCAGGCTGGTTTCAGAGGTGGTAAATCGAAAATTCATCAGATTGCAAACCCTGAAACAAATTTTGAAAAAACACTGGAATATGGCATTGATATTCATCAGATATTTATATACTACAAAGCAGCCTACGACTCTGAATAGAAGAGAAACATTCAAAGCATTGAAAGAGCTAGGAATACCAAATCACTTGGTAAATAAAACAAAACTAACTCTTGAAAAAGTTGAATATAGAGTACGAATTCAGGGGGAACAGTCTGAACTTTTTAAAACAAATAACGGGCTGCGTCAGAGAGACCCTCTCTCCTGTATACTGTTCCATCTGGCTCTGCAGTACGTATTCAGGGGGAACTGTCTGAACTTTTTAAAACAAATAACGGGCTGCGCCAGAGAGACCCTATCTCCTGTATACTGTTCAATCTGGCTCTGGAAAAAGTAATACGTGTGTCAAAAATCACAACCACTGGTTTAATATATAATAAATCAGTGCTAATCCTGGCCTATGCTGATGATATCAATATTGTTGGGAGAACGGAAAACGCTGTACGAGAGGCGTATTTAGCATTAAAAGAATCAGCTACAAAAATGGGTTTAATGATAAACACCTACAAAACGAAGTATATGAAATAAGCACCCACCACAGATACTACGACTACTTGTTATAGAATACGACTTCATCGAGGCAGCGAACGAATTTATATACATGGTAGCGCTCCTTAATACTGAAAATAATATTACCGCAGAATTTGCACGGCCAACAGATGCTATTCCTCCTTAAATCCACAATTATATCGAGAAATACAAAAATAAAACTCTACAAGACAATAATACTCTCAGTCCTAACTTATGGTTCAGAGACCTGGACTCTAACAAAAAAGAATGAAAACATGTTAGGATGTTTCGAAAGAAAAGCACTAAGGCGAATCTATGGAGCAGTGAATGGCAATGGAGGGTGGATAAGACAATACAAACATCGAACTTTATAGAATATACCACGAACTTGATATCGTAAAACATATTAAGATAGGACGTCTGAGGTGGATAGGGCATGTAATGCGGATGGAACGCTAGAAAAACGCTCCTTGATAGACCCATTAATCAGAGAAGATGAGAAAGACCTAAAAGAAGGTTCCTTGATAACATCGATGAAGATATGAGAAATATGGGAATACATGCTTGGTGGAGAAAGGCGATGGATAGGGACAATTGGAGAGAAATTCTTGAAGAGGCTAGGACTCACGTAGGGTTGTACAGCCAGAATGATGATGATGATATCAAATTCTGACTTTTTTGTGTGTTTTTTATGTTGTATGTTTGTATAAACTGGATCATAATTGTGGTTGTGTAACGTAAGTTGTGCAACATGCATTTGTGTGTATACATATAACTAATACTCCACTATTGTTGGTATTATTCTTGTTTTCAAGATAGACAAAAGAAGAAGTCAACAACTAGAATATAACAACAATAGCGGAGTAATAGGAGGTCGAAAAACATGACCTACAATCAAAACAGTCAGAATTTGATATTCCTAAGGTAAAGACACCACCCTCAGATTTTTTCAGCTCTGGTCTACAACAGGGGTCACCAATTATATTCCCTGAGGGTCCGTTTCGAAAACCTACTTCCGGGGTCCGGTCACTCAGCACTAAACCTAAGCGTAACCGGGAGGGGGTTACTCAGGAACCCTCCACTAGTTATAACCCCCCTCAGGAGATCATCCTGGTTACGTAGGTTACATGCACATAAATACAATATAATTATTATTAAATTCAACAGAATGGTTACTATGTCAGAAATATGCAAATTAAAATAATTGTAGGGTACTTCCTGAAATTTTGGAAAGTCGTTTAGTCGAAACGACTAAACGATTAAAAATGTTAAGATATTTATATATTTAAATTTGATTATAATTTTACACTATAATTTTGTTACTATATTTTGAATTTACCGGCGGTCCGGAAAAAACAAGCTCACTGTCCGGATGCGGGCCGCGGTCCGCCATTTGTTTTGTTTTGTTTTGTTTGTTTATTTAACGGGATGAACCCTTTTTCCTTACAAAAATTACAGTATACACATATAATTAACATATAAACTGTAGTCATATAATTACAATTTTAAAAAGTATTAATAACATTAATGTCTCAATTTCTTTAAACTATTCTTGAACGAGGACACGGATAAATTAAACAATTCAACACTATCTTGCAAATTATTGGCAGTTCTCAACATCCTTGTAATTGACTCACTTTTACCATAATTAGTGTGATGAAACTTTAGTCTAAACAGCTCATTAGAGCGTGTTCTTCTAGAATTTACATTAAAAATAATTAATTCCAGCAGTTCCGGACAATCAACATAACCATTAAGAATTTTATGCAAAAAACGCAATTCACACTCAGATTCTCTATTTTCCAAAGTTTTCATATTAAGCTGACAAAGAATATAGTTATAATCACAGTTAGTTCTATTAAAACCCATTTTATACCTGCAAATTCTTAGGAATTTATTTTGAACTCGTTCCAACTGATCAATATACATATTATAATATGGATACCAAATAATATTACAATATTCCAAAATGGACCGAACTAGAGAACAATACAAAATTTTGAAAGTAAATATTGAAAATTCTCGGGAATTCCTTTGAACAAAGCCGAGCATTCTATAAGCCCGCGATGTAATATTATTAATATGACAATCAAACATTAGTCTTTCGTCAAATGTAATTCCAAGGTCTCTAATTTGATTTACTTCTGTAATCGATACTCCCTTAAGTATGTATGTTCTATATAACTGATGTTTAGTATTTCTGGAAAACGTAATTTATAGCACTTTTTTATATTTAAATATAAGGCATTAATGTCACACCAACGAGATAAATTATTTAAGTCAGACTGAAGAGCATCCATATCAGAGGTATTTTTAATTGCTTTAAAGATCTTTATGTCATCAGCAAACAATAGAAATTCACTATTATTAATTACTGATGATATATCATTCACAAACAGATTAAATAAAAGTGGGCCTAAGTGAGAACCTTGAGGTACACCCGAAGTAACATTAATCGCTTCAGAAACAAAATTACCATATTTTACTATTTGTGAACGATCTGTCAAATAACTCGTGATCCAATCCAATAAATTATCTCCAATTCCGTATCCACGAAGTTTAGCAATTAATATTTCGTGATTTACCCTGTCAAATGCTTTGGCAAAATCAGCATATATGGAGTCAACTTGGTTTTCCCGATTCCATAGAATCAACAATGAAGTTTGAATACAAAATAAGATTTTGTACAAGTAGATTTCTTTTGATAGAAACCATGTTGTTGACCAGAATTAAATTTTTACAATCGTAGGTTAACATATGGTTAACAAAAAAATCAAGCAACTTTGGTAGTTCAGACTGCAAACAAACAGCCCTGTAATTTTCAACATTATTATTTTGACCAGATTTAAAAATGGGTTTTAAAAAACTCACTTTCCAAAAATCAGGAAATGTAGAAGAAGTTAAGGACTTATTGAATAATAACTGAATAGGTTTAGCAAGAGTGAATACACATTTTTTAATAAAATACATTGGTATACCATCTGGACCCGCTGTCAGTTTCCACGGATTATTCTGTATTTTATCAATAATATCCTTAACATTAATTAAATAATTATTAGCATTAACATAATTTTCGTACTTAAAATTAGGAATCTGATTTATTTTTTCTTTATTATAGACAGTCGAAAAGAACCCAGCAAATAAATTCACATATCTGAACCATTTTCACTACTTTCATTACCATAACTCATACTGGATGGTAGAATATGAGATTTGCGTTTATTATTAATATAGTTTCCAGAAAGAACTAGAATTATGAAAAATGCTAGCCTCAATTTCATTCACATGACGCCTTTGTAAATACTTGCTAAGCTCTTTACATTGTTCCCTGAGATCGGAAAAAAGACAATAGTTCTCATCACCACCAGTCATTTTAAATTTTTTATGTGCTTTTTTTCTTCTCATAAAAGTAAATGTTTTAACTCTGATGTAAACCATTTGGGATATGTAGATGTTTTAAATTTTTTTAATGGTATAAACAATTCGATTAAATAAAATAAAATATCATAAAAATCTTTTACTACGTCATTAATGCTTTTGTTAAGAAATAATAAATTCCAGTCAACTTCTGCTAAATAATAATTTAAAGCAACATAATCACCATTTTTAAAGTCAAAATAGTATTCTTCATAATTAAGGACAGATTCTTTATATCAACAATTACGTCAAAATTGACTGGTGTATGATGAAATCCCTCCTCAAATAACGGATCCAGAGGTACAGAAACAGATATATCAGGAAAGCTAGAAAAAATTAAATCAAGAAAACATTTCTCCGGTTTGGATATCGTATTGACCTGGTATAAGTCACAAATATTAATGATATTACATATATCGTTAGCTGGTGAGTTTTGGTTAGCCTGTACCGTGGTACCATAAAGAGTGTTAACCCAAAACTACATCAGGTAAATTATAATCCCCACAAATTATTAATTTACAATCCGGAATCTTATTATATATATATTCAATACTATCACAGTGTTCTATATATACATGCCTATCAGATGCAGGAGGTAAATAAACACCACCAAATACGACAGTTTGACTTTGACACTTAAGTGAAACAAACATTTGCTCAACACTATTTTGAGGAACAAAAACCTCACACACTTCCAAATGTTTGGCCACAGCTACTAATACTCCCCCACCACGTTGTTTGACACTAGTATTATAATTTCTATCACTTCTAAAAATGTTGAAGTCTTCTAACCCCAATTCTGCATCATGGAATTCAAAATTTAACCAAGTTTCGACTAAAACAATCACATTGTAATCGGCGCATGACACTGTCTGGCTTAAATCCTTAAGCTTTGTTCTTAAACCACCCACATTTTGAAAATAAACATTTAGTACAGTTCTACCGTTATGATCATTAACGCTACTTTTTGATTGCTATCTTTGATAATTTATCTTCTCTTTGTTTTTATTAATTTGTCGGAGATAGCTAGGACAGTTTGTATCAAATACGTGATGACCTGTATCAACACCATCTATTTTCATTACATCCTTCGCATAATTACAATTAGAACAAGAATAATTAGTACTGTTGCATTGATTTTTTTTATGCTTACCCCTGGCGGTGACCTGACACCTATTTGGTGACCCCTGGTCTACAAGATCGAGGCTAAATATGTCAATTTGGAAAGGACATAACCTAGTAATAAACAACTTAGTTATGGATTTTCGCAGAATTTTTTAATTTAATCTTCTTTGAGAACGATTTCCGGAACGGAAGTCGAAACGTCAAACATTAGTTGGTTAAAAATAGAATTTTCATTACAATCAATAATTGTGGCTTAATCCTATATAAACATAATATTTATGTTATAATAATGTTTATGCTTCCTAATTTTCTTGAAATAAGAAAATTCCTGAATTGTACGCTTGTTTTTCCAGATTTGTCTTTAGTGTGCATTTTAGTTTCTCGATATTGTTACCATTATCGGTAGAACAATGCGTATTGAAAACAGCCTCAAAAATATTTCTATTTTTTTTTTGTTATGGCATGAGTATCGATGTGGCGATCTAAGAAAATTTCGAAACAATTTTCTTATGTCATTTTTATATCAACTACATATTTTATGGGAATAAACCACAATTTTATTTAAAAATGCTTTATAGGTAAAGATTCTCGAAAAACAAATTTTAGGGACTATTTCCGAGGTGAAACTCTAAACGGATTATTCCTATAAAATATAGCCCATTATATTCCTATAAAGAAAATCCATTAGAAAAATATTCTTATATTTTGAAATATCGTTTAACACAATATAAAATATTTTTGTTTGTGAGTAAGAGTAATACATGACATTATATAAAATTACATTGATTGCCACAACGGATTAAGTTTATAGTTCTTGTATAATACGCATGTATATATACGCGGGGTCGACAGCCTTTGTTTAAATCACAGGTATTGATAACAGTTTTTACATTTTTTAGTTTTTGGTTCGCTGAATATGGCTAGATCGAATTCTATGACCAGCGCCGGGCAGTGTCGTCTTGCTCCGTTGATACCTTGCATACTCGATGCTTCAAAACTATACGATTATTGTGTGAAGATTATGTTCAAATTACATATGACTCTACCGCCCGACAGCTCTCCGGGCATAGAGAGAGATTCCTTAAGCAGTTTAGATTATTGAAAAAGTTTTACGAGAGCACCAGCAATCTGCAATATTTTAAGGAGCTGATTGCGATACCGCCGTTACCTGAGGTAATGGATTTAGAAGAAGATTTAATTAAATGTATATCTATGAAAGAGTATGAAAATAACCATGTTGTAGAACTAAATAGTGGTAGTGCTAGTAATCTTAACGATGATAGTATTAGTGGTTCTGCTAGTAATACTAACAATACTAACCCTAAACAATACTAAACAATCAGAAGATGAAAATGTAGGTATCTTGATTGATCTTAGTTAATTTGTGTTGGATCTAAAAAACAGCTTGGGTTGTTTGTTGCCATTTTTTGTCCCTTAGGGAGAAATTGATTAATATATTTAATACAAAATAAAATCACGACATACAATTTGTTCTAAATTTTCATAAAATATATTTATTAACTTGTGACAATGTTTCGTTAGCAGTGCATCTTCCGAAGTGAAGGTATTACTATTTATGGGTTGATAATAAACGACTTATAATTACATAATTACTGGTATACTGGTTCATAAAAAATGTCTATTTCCTAATATTCCTACTTACTTTTATAGAGTCTAATAAAGTTAGTTTAAGCCTCTTTTCTACTTCACGCACTGAAGAATAAGTGCCTCATGTAAATAAATAAATTTTATCAAGAGTTATGGAAGTGAATGAATTAAAAAAACACAATTATTAATTAACAACTTAGGAAAAACAATTTTCGCTTGTAAGTCTGCTGACTATTAAGTGGTAAGTTTCTCCTAGTGCGTTATTATTTTCCATTCCATTATTCTACACGTGTTAAGAGGTTTACCTCTTATCAGAAAGACTTGTGGTAGCTCGAATTGAAATGAAATGCTGTTTATCTATATAGCCATTACAGTAACATAACATGTCTCAGTACAGCAGTAGCGAGCTCCATATGAACCAACAAGACGTCTGGAGGCGAATTAGGTGACCTGCGAATCTGAGCTTGGTTGATGATGTTAGGAAGTTTATTCCGAAAATACATATTTAGTTTATCCTTGCAAAACACGAAAGAATTTCTTTTCGATTAGAGTTACACGTGCTTTGGGCTTTCACCTCCCATCTGGAATACATGTGGTAGCTGTAATTAAAATGAAATGCTGGCTATCTGTGTAGCTGTTACAGTAACATAACATGCCTCAGTACGTTAGTAGCGAGCTCAATATGAACCAACAAGAAGTCAGGAGACTTCTCTTCGATTGTGAATTAGGTGAACTGTGAAGGAAAGCTTGCTGGAAGCTATTTAGAGCACGATATTAGAAGTAAAAAGATTCGGAATAAAGGAATGAATGTTCAGAATAAAAGAGTATTCCTAACATGCCCCAATCCCAAGGTTTTCATCACTCTGTTTATCGAAATACCCATACATACTAATCGTTACTTGCATGCCAACTATTATCATCCACCTTCACAAAATAATTAAGTCATTAATAACCTTGTCTCCTGATTAATAGGCCTTTATGATGATGCAAGTAGACCCGCTGAGCTCTTCAGTTTAAAACAAGCCCTCATCCAAAATGGTTACGGCGAAAATCACATAAATAGAATCATCCACTGACATCAATCTTCCACTCGATCTGTCAAAATTCTTAAATCAAGAGGAATAAAGACAATATTTACCCCCCAACAAAAACTTGGATCTCTTGTCCGATCAATCAGAAAACATTACAAATGAACACAGAGGTTATGAAATTCCTTGTGCAGACTACCCTTGATCATAATAAGGTCAAAGAAATCGTAGAATCCAAAATAGATGAACATTTCATTTCTGTTCGCAATTCCGATTCAATGTTAGCTCTAGGCCAACACCATCTTCATACAGATCACAAAAGTGATCTTGAAAACGCCAAAACCATGGCCCCTTGGCCAGAGAAATTGAAAACAAGCCAAATAGTCTCAATAAAGGAGATGGCGGCATACGGTTACCTTCGACATGGATACCTCTCATAAAGAAAATATCTTCTGCTCCACCTGCGAATCACAATCCTACTGTCAGAAATGTTCGTATCTGTAAGAGAAATATATACCATCGACGGTATAAATGAACCGTCCTCTATTTCCAGTGGCTGTAATGCATAGGTTAGCGATCTAATGGATTGATAGTAGTGTCCGGTTGCTTGAGACACTGACTGAATCAAAGAGAATGTCGAAATGATGATCGACGCGATTCAACCCGGAAGGCTGTTGACGTTAATATTAATTCTTGTAATATTATTAATCTTAGCTCTAGGTTAAGTTTAATATATATATATATATATATATATATATATATATATATATATATATATATATTTATATAACCTTTACTTTTTTACTTTTTTGTGTCCTTATTCAGTTCTTGTTTTGGGTGTCTATGTTATGTTTGATCTTAGTCTTATTTCTGTATCATACAATCAAATGAAGTAGTTGCAACTTTTTTTTGAAAAATTAAATTTCGATGAAATAACTCCCATCTATGAACTCTAATGCTGTTATAACTTAATAATTCTCACATAATAAGTTGAATGTTTATATTTTGGTATGGAAAAATTTTCGTTAATTTTTTTTGTGCCCATAACGAGTTCTTTTGCATTTTTTAAATGGGCTGGCCACCATATTTTTAAGTCTAGAACTCCATTTGTATCTACCACTTTTACAGTCATATGTGGTCTCGATCTTTTTGGATGTACTATTATTGACATATACTGCATTGGAGTATAAACCCGGTCATTGCCCTTAAGAATCCTTAACTCCAAAATCTCTTCTGCACGGTAGAAATGAATTGCCATACTTTTCATATATAGAAAATATTCACTGGCATAAATGGTAATGTCAAATTTTTCACATAATCAAAAAACTGTGGCTGCTACATTATCGCTTTTATTACACATCTCTTTTTCATATTGATTCATATTTTTTTGTAAAACTTAGGAGCCCTCCTCTTATGCACAAGTAATTATTTCATTAAGTAATTTAATTTGACTACTACTTTCTCGCATGTCGGGCATACGTCCACCTGTGGTCTACCAAACCTATATCCAAAATTTTCGTTGACATTTTTCAAGTAGTACTCATAGTTAACAGGTTTTGTCAAATCTTTATTGTTGAATCAAAACATTTGGTACATCTTTTTTACGGTTAAAGAAGAATCAAGTTGGACAAGAGGCTTGCTACCATAATGGGTTTCTTTTTTGGAAAACCTTTATTATTCGAAAAACAGAATCTGTCGAAAAACAAAATTACCAAGTTTAATATGTCGACCTCGTCTGTCAATGGCTCTATCGCCATTTATTAGGGGCAAAGTTAAAAGAAAAACTGATTTTACCGAAAATGCATACACACTGAGAAATGCTTTTTTGCATATCTGAACACGTTCTTTTCTATTTAAGACATGAAACACAAAATTGCTTCGGCGTTCTTGATTCCTTGACCTGCGTCTCATAACTTCTTTAGCGTCAAGTAGACCCATTGAAAAAGTATCTTGGTCATTGCTTGGTTTGCTTGAATAGAGCGTTTCAAAAATTTATTTTTTCTCTCCTCCAGAGAATTTCTCGGTGCATTTAAATTTACAACTGCGAAAAAACATCATTAAAAACAAATTGTTTGAAAAGTGGTAGTAGTAACCAACTAGTTAGATTTGCAGAAACAAATTTGGAAAAGAAAAATAATCAAATTATTACAACACAATGTACATATACAATGTTATTTAAAATAATTTTAAAGATATAATACTTTTTTAGTTTTAAAAATACTAGTTTTTGTACAATTTTTAACAATTACGAGGATATATAGGTATATAAAACGCATAAAATTGTAATATCTGGGACACGTTATGAGAAATCAGCACCGTTACTCCCTGCTGCAGTCTATATTGCAAGGTAAAGTCAAAGGTAAGCGAGGACCCGGTAGAAGGAGAATATCATGGCTGCGGAATTTAAGAACATGGTTTAAGAAAACCTCAACGGAGCTGTTTCGAGCCGCAGCGAGTAAGGTTATGATTGCCAATATGATTTCCAACATCCGAAACGGATAGGAACCAGAAGAAGAAGATAGGTATATAAATATATTTCCTCCCAACATAAAATTCATCTATATATCGAAAAAGCGCCATCCTGCACATAGTCGTAAATATTTTAAAAGTACATATCTGCAGCTCTGTCCTGTTTGTAGAGAAGGTTTTTTAATTCCGTTGACTAACATACCTTTTTCCGAGTAATCGACCTTTAATTCGTGCATTATTCTTATGTTTGTCAGAGTTTCCCTTCTCTCAATTTAATCTTTCACTACTTGCATCAGAGATATCAGACATGATGCTAACGAATATTGTTTAAGATAAAAAAATGTTAATGTTCATCGGCAAATTCACTAATGCACACACATATTACAGCCAACCTTAACAAAATGACAGAAACGATGGTGGCGCCACAAGAATTACTGTATAAAAGTAACAGGTCCTGGACTAGTTCCCTTTATACGCTTAACATAAAATTTTAACCTGCGATATTTCGCGTATGGCGAGTGGGCCAAGTTTTCCGTATAGACGACTCATTGATCAGTCAACTTATTTTAACAAAATGTTTATCTTATTTTTAAATTGGTACTAATGTGGACTTGTTCCGTTTATGCAATAAGCGCTTCAATTATTGGTAGAGGGTTTTCAAAAGCAGCTTACAGCTTACAAATAGCAAAACTCTATAAAACTTGCACACGAGAACACAACGTACACAAAACATTCTAAATTCCAGATATATACTTCATACTGATAATACGATTCAGCAATTCTCCTCTTCTTTACCGTTTTCACAGTATGATGTAATATGTAGTTACAGTTATATATTCAGAAAGGTGCATTGCTATTGAAATGAGTGTCATGAATTCGTTAATAAATTTTTTGAAAAAGTTTAAAAACGGTACTTTTTAGGTTTTAATTTTCATTAATATTGACTAAATCCATCTACTATATTCAATATAATTTTAAAGATTACCTATATTCTCTTTATTAGATTTTGGTTCAAGATTTTAGTAAAATTAGAGTAAAATATATACAACCCTATAAACAGGTCAATTTTAGAGGTGGGAGATTCTAGTTTAAATGATAGGACAAAAAAAATTATACATAAGTTGGTATATATTTTGGTTATTTAGGTTACTTATATTGTACATACATTTCTAACATCTACTTTACACGTCCTTATACTATAACATTAATGTATATAATTTTAAAATCGATGCTTTTAACTTGCACATAA